AAGCTGAACAGAGCCACGTTTCTTTCCAGGCACATTTCTTGTTCCGTTGCACAAGAGATCTGTTTTCTGGTGACCCATATTAAAATAAATAAGCTCTGGGTGCAAAAATGCAATGTTTTTTTCCTATATCCTGGGCTCGAGGAGTTGGATTCTTCCCCCCCCCCCCCCCCGAGTGTGTAGCAGACAGTATTTTTTTTTGACAGGCCGTGTTTTCAAAGCAATCAACCAATTTCCTTTTCTCTGTGGTGATTATGCTTTGAAGTGCCCTACTTCCATTGCCGAGAATCTTTTTTTTGTTGTGCAGAATCCGGTTGCCTTCGTCCTTAAGGTTTTGTGTACTGAAAAGCCTTAACAATGCCATTGAGCACCAAAGATGAAGAGGGCTGCCCACCTTGTCTTTTCCTTTCTTAATAAGTTAGCTGTCTGGGGCTTTGGCCCTTACAATTTTTTTAAATTGATTTATTTTATTGAACTGCTGTCTGTGGTACTTATCCGGCCCCACTACTGTAGTGTTGGAGTGCCTCAGTCTTTAATGCACTAATCTTCACAACAGTCCTGTGAGGGAGGTAAGTGGTGGTATTACCATTTTGCGGATGGGAAGCTGAGGCATTATAAAGCTAAGTGACTCGCCCAAGGTCACACAGGACATCTGTGGCGGAGCAGTGGATTGTACTCTGCTCTCTAGTGTCCCAGTCTAGTGCCCTAACTACTGGGCCATCTCTCTTCAGTGTTGTAGGGTCATCATTCTGTTTAGGATTACAAAGAGTGAAGCAGCATACACCCAGGCTAATGCGGCTGGCAGCTGAGAGAACATCCCACAACTAGCTTGGAGTTTCTCTCTCTCTCTTTCTGTGTAGCAGAGCATGTGTCACACCCAGGGCCCAATATACAACTTCAGTAATGGAAATCATTAGGGGCAGTCAAACCAGGGTAAGTATTTTCTGTAAGTGTTGAAGCTGGGGTGTGTGAGGGGGGGAGACAGATTTTTTTCATTTGAAACTATCCATGGAATCTTGTGGGTTTTTACTAAATAAAACTATGGCTTGAAACAAAATTTGAGGGTTGTCTTTTTCTCATCTCACCCCAACTGGAAGAGTAGGGGGACATTGGGGAGCTCGGGGGCAGAGAATCCCAGATTCTCCACTTTTTTTTCAGTTGTCAGTCTAGTGTTTTCAGTCTTCAAAATTTTCACCAAAACAAATTTTCCACAATTTTTGTCCTGATCAAAAAGCCATGTGTTGCTGGGTAAGACTTCAACAAAAAACTTTCAACCAGTTCTACAAATCATATCAAGAGCTTCACCCGCCAAATTAATGGCCTGGGGTTGGGGTGTGTGCCATCTTGGAAAAACTTCTCCTCGACAACTGAATAAATTCAAAATAATGAACCTGGCACTGTTTTGGGGGCACTTGTAGGGTCAAACAAAAAAAACTAGGCCATCTGTGGGGTTTTTTTTTAAGGAATTTCTTAACTCTAAAAACCTCTCTAGATGTATTGATAGGCTCATCTGTGCTGGTGTCATTTCCGAAGGTAAGCAAAAAAAATCTCTTTGCTCTATTCTGACGCAGCGGGATACAACTTTTCCCCTTCCTCCTCCTTGTGGTTCAAGGGGTTTTGGATTTATGGGCTCGGAGCTCACGGAGTCGATGGTTTAAACTGTGGTATGAAACGCAGAGATGTTCTGGTGGCTATGATGGAGCACTGGAATGGCCTGAGACACTGGGAAAGTGGGGAGAGGCGGAGATGGATGTGAGGAGTCTCATGACAGCATATGGCTGGCAGGGCCTTTTGTCAGACCAGAGTCTCGGAAGTTGTTCACATTTCTGGAAGTGGAGTCTATTGGCTGTCACCCTGACTGACTTGCCGTCATGTGCTCCTTTCTTCGCTGTGATGATGGCCCTTCGGCACTGGTGCCAGAAGATGGGCACCGACCTCTGTTTTAATTTACACCTTTTTGGGGTAGAGCAGGGTGCTAGGTGGTTTTTTCTGGGCGGTTACTGTCTGGGTGAACAATGTGAATTGTGCAGGAATGCTGGGACTGCTGATAGAGTTCAGTTGGGCCGAAAGGCCTTGGCCCGGCAGCAGGGTCCTTGTTTCGGTCATTATCAGGGAGGTCAGTGTTTAACAACTCAGCAGGCCAAGTGGTAAAGTCCGAGGCAGTGCAGTCCAGCTTCCTCTGCTGCCTTTGACGTCATTTCCTGCTCTGTGTTGTTCCCACCTCTCTGCCTCAGGCTCTGTGCAGTCACCCTCCTCTCCTCCCTCTTGTTGGCACATACGTTTTCTGTCTTCTAAGTGAGGGCTGAGCCGGAGCTGTGACCCTCATTCATGGTTGTATGAAGATGGCCAGGAGAAGCATCCTGTAGTAAATGCCCTTCACTGCTAGCTGATCAAGTCGGGAGGTTCCTCATGAAAATGAGACACGTGTGGCGAATGTCTGCATGTTTCTAACTACCAACAAGCCCTTAGGTGGGAAGAGTTGAAGTTGCCATGCCATGTGTGACACCACAGTTACCTTCAGTAGCAAGAGAATGGTTCCACTAATTCAGGACTGATTTGGGTGGGGGATTAAGGAGAGAGCTGCTGTTTCAACACAATATTGGACACACGTGTTGGCGAATAGAGAAAACACCTGGCCAAGGAACATGCTCGTTTTTTCTTTCAGGTTTTGTTCTAGTGTAAAAATTCCCCCTCTAATGGTCCAAATTCACTTTTTAAAGCATCATGTTCTTGATACATATTGCCTTGATCATTGCTAATTATCACAGTGCTTATTGGCAACTGGAATGCTATGAAGGCCTATTTAACCCTCCCTCTGCCCTAAGAGATCAGTGTCCCTCGAAAATCCTCTTTATTGCTCTTATGGTCCCCGCAACCACAGATCTGAGCACGTGTTACGCAGCCAACCCTGCTGGTGTTGGTCCTAATCTGAAGCATGGGTTCCTGACATTGGGCATGTAGATCTGAGTTTAACCCCCTGATTTTGAAAATTGGGTCCTTACTTGGCAGTGGGGGGGACATGACTCTGGATTAGCTGGAAAGCTCCATTTGTGTGCAGCATAACAAAGGTCTTGGTGTCCCTGTGCAGCAGGTGCAGCTGCTTACCTGCGGTAAGCACATACCACCTGGTTTGTGTGCTGGCTCCCTGTCCCTCGCCAGATGCAGCCCAAGGCCTTGGCAGGCTTGTAAAGGCCCAGATTTTCCCAAGGCTTGTTTATCCGTTAGTGCCTAGCTCTGCTTTCTGTCACTGCTGTTAAGATTGGTTGGGGGCCCTGGCTGTCAGGCCCTGTGTGTGCCTGGTTTTCTCACTCCCCTCTGTAGCCTGTTGGAGCCAGAGTCCAGCAGACCTCCAGGGCATGATGCAAAAGGCCTGGGTCTTTAGCAACAAACTGGTTTTAGCTCTTGTTCTCAGGGGATGCGCCTGCTGTCTATAAGTGGATGTCTCACTGCCACAACCATGGGCCCTATAGAAATAAGTTAAATGAGCCTCCTCCTCATAAAACTGAAGCTCTGCAAGTAGCCCAGTCCTATTGCCATGGTGCCATTAACGACTCTCACTACAAAATGCATTTTCCAAATAGCGATCTGAACTCCTCCTGTCCAGTGGGCTGCTCCTTCTGCTTTCCTCATCCCTCCCTTGCTTCACCCTAACCAGTGAACCTCTGTTCCACAGGCAGCCCTTGAATGTGTAAATGTTTGACTGGTGAGAGTGCTGGGTCACTGCTCCCCTCCTCCATTGCAAGCTGCCCTGTGCACTAATGATCCAGCCTCTATCTTCTCTCCACCTTCCCTCAGAGGCAACAGAACCCATGGCAGGTGGGGAGGGTTACGTTGGCAGTAGAGGGGGCCTAAGCTTAAACTCTAAAATAACTTGCCCCTGTATGCCCAGCCTTGTCCAGGGAGTCCAGAGACAGCGGATGAGGCTTGGGAATCTGTGGCTTATTCCTTTGTACTGGGCTGCTGTCTGACACGTCCTGTTGCTCTGAAGGAACCTACCCTCTGCTGAAGAGCAGTATTCCCCATTGCAAGGAGACACTCACCCCTCGGGCTGCTGGCCTTTCTGTGGCCTAGCCAGCTGGGAGCACGACACCCTTCTGACTCCTGCTCAAACAAGACACCTCAGTCTGGTGGCCACTGATGGGACCCCATGCTCCCCAGACTGAAGGGGAGAGGGCATGACCATGTGTCGGTGTTCTTCTGGGAAAAGATAATGGCCACGGTTCTTGGGACCGTGAACCTGACTGATTCCCGGAGTGAAGCTGCCACTGTGGGGATTTCTGATGCGTTTCTCATCATTTAATGATATGTGAGTCCAGGAACGATGGTGCCGGATCCCTGTGCACGATGGCTCTCCGTGGAACCCTAGTGCACTCCTGGAGGAGTTGTTCCCCCTCTTCTTCCCCCCCCCCCCCCATCTGGTCACAGTCTCTCTAGCCAATCTTGTGTGCACACTGGGGCAAGGTGGAGCTCCAAATGGCCTCTAAATACCGAGCACCAAGGGGCTGTTCCGGAAGACCAACCCCTGAAAAGCTCCTGCTTGCTTTGGTTAATGACACCAGCACCTGTCATCTGTAGCTCTCTCCGCTTTAGACAAGTGCTATCTCCAGAGAGAATCTCACTTGCCCAGGTTACAGTGACTCAATTGGCAGAGCCAGGAGTAAAGCCCAGGGCTTCGGAGTGCCCTATCCAACAGACAATCCCGCCTTGGGGGTGGGGGAAGTTGTGCCTGGATTGGGTTGTTCTGTACCCTAGATGTGTGTTGTCACTTTAACAGACTTTGAGGAGGGAGGCGGGAAGAGACACCCAGGCTGCTGGCTTCCAGCAAAGCTTCATTTGGTTGGTGGGCAGAGGCAGAGATCTAACCCATGGGACCATACACCGACCCCTGCTGCCTCATTCACCTTATGCTGTGATGGCCTGTCTGTTCCCACCTGCTCAGAGGAGAGTGGTCCCTCTCCAGGTGCCAGTACTAACAGCCCTGTATTTCTCTCTCCCTCTCCCAGGTCTGCTGGCAATCCTGATCCCCCGCCTGGACATCGTCATCTCTCTGGTGGGCTCTGTGAGCAGCAGTGCTCTCGCCCTCATCATCCCTCCCCTGCTGGAGATCACCACCTATTACGCCGACGGCATCCACCCCGTCACCATCGCCAAAGACTTCCTGATCAGCATCCTGGGCTTGGCGGGGTTTGTGGTGGGCACCTACGAGTCCCTTTGGGCGCTGGCCACACCCCCCATTGCCAACACCACCAGAGCCTTGGTCTAGTGACCCCTTTTCCTTCCCTCGCTCCACCCCAGCAGCGCCATACAGCCTCTTGGCAGCTCACTGGGTTTTCATCAGGGTCGAGGCAGTGACTCTCCCTTCCTTCTCTTTAAATGTATTTGTCCAGGTAAAGTGAGGGTGAGTGCACAACTGGAAAAGACAGGACCCCGATTCCCATTCCCTTTCCCTCTCCTCTTCGTCTGCAGTTCCCACTTTGGGGGGGGTCTCATTGCTTGGCTCTGGGAGCCCTGCAGAGATGACTTGCGGCCCCTGGTTGGGATGGAGTGCCTTCCTTTGCTCCACCGGGATCCTTCTGGCAGATTAAGGTGACATACCTACAGGTGCCAAGGTACTTCAGTTTTAAGTGGACATGCTTCTAGACTATAGAGTACCAAGGGGAGGGAAGAAATCCTTGGGCTCTTTCAGGGATCTAGATGACTGCTTCATAGCTCAGGGTACCTCTACCCTTCCCAAACTCCCCTCTGCCCAGAAAAAGAGAATCTCTGACTCTTTTCTGGTGCCAACCCTTTTTTTTTTTTTCAGCACTTTAATTCATGGCAACAGAGCAACTCCAGCCAGTGAGTGACACATTAGAGCCCTCATCCTTCAGAGCTGTAGAACCTGGAAAATTACAGTGGCAACAAGGGGAAAAGGGAGCAGGAAACTGCACAATGAGAGACAATCTCTTTCGTGCACTGACCTGGCAGGCTGATAGTCACAGCCCGGTTTGACACTCGCCGTGTGTAAGGCGGGCCTCGGTGGGTAGAGCGCTCTCTAGCTTGAGGAGCCAAACACATAAGTATTAGATGGCATTGTTTATTGGAATCCACGTTACAAACCCATCTGTCTGGGCCTTTTTCAGCCTAGATCCCTGCCACACTCCATCTCAGGCTCCGTCCATTCTAGGTTGCATGGGATGAGGCAAGTCTGTGTGTGTGTTTGGGTTTCAGAGAAGAGTTGGGGGATTGTGCTAAATCCCTGACTTAAGTTTAGTTGTCTTTTTTTTTTCCTTTGTAGACTCTGTATAAACTATGTGGGGTTTATCGAAAGCATTAGGAACAAGGTACGCACGGAGCAGCCTGTGATGGTGTCTGGGAGCTTCACTTCCTTGCTGAGGCAGTTATTTTATTCTTGAACTAGGAGCCCAATTTCCTTTACCCCTTTCTTTCAAAAAAGGGCATGGGACAGGGATGTCCCCTTGCCAGTACTTCTTTAAGCTCACTCCACCTCACCCTGGAACGCTCCCTGCCTACAAGGGATGTCTTGTGTTTACACCCACCGTAGCTATGCCCCTGCTGGGTGGTGCTACCTCACTGTTTGTTATAAATCACTGATAGCACAAATGCTGAATCATGACAATGAGAACCGAAGGCAAATTGTTATAAAGAACCTGCGTTTCTCTTTTCTTCCCCTGCTGGATCTATCCTTTGTTCTCCAGCTAGTTAAGTGGGGGTCCCACTGCTTGCTAGGTAGGAAGAAGCGTTATCTGTTTTATCCACTTGGTTTGATTAGTGAGGGAAGGGAGCTGTCTCTTTCGTGTTTCTCTTTCATTCATTTCCCTTTACTTTGCGCTGGATCTCTAGGCAGCGATAAGCTGTTTAAAGCTTTGTCATTGTCATGCTTTGGTGAGGCGTGGCTTGACACGACACCCTCTCTCATATTCCTGTGGCTTGTAACAGTTTGTCAATGACCAAAGGACTAGAGTAAGCAATCCATGGATATAGATACAGAGTTTGACTTAAAAATCTCTTCCTTCTGGTTAGCGTAAGAGGAGGGGATCACTAAGTGTGAATGAAAGTGCTAATGAAGGGAGTGTTCGTAAAGCGATGGCTGGAAATCCAATAGCGTCCCAGCATACGCTTTCAGCACACATCCAGGACTACTTTGTAGTGATTGTTTTTTGTAATTTAGTTTTTTACATTGATTTTTTTTTAAAGGCGCTGCCAACACTCCAGCAGGATGGTTTGTTAATCTCGTGTCTAAAAGTAAGCACGATCTGAAAGGGCTTTGGGCTGAATTTATTTATTTGCTACGGTGGGGCAAGTAGGGCCAATGTATATTCATCTTGAAATCAAAGCTTGGAAGCCAAACTTGCAGCGGGTGATCAGCAGAGGTTTGTTCCCAAAGCCCTGTGCTGAATATGAATGGTCTGAAGGGAGGGTTGATGCTGTCTCTAAACCATCCAAAACCTCTGAGCTCTTGGACTAGTGTAGCAATGGAAAGATCAGTCTATACAATGGCTGGAGCATTTCATTTAATTAGAACAGGAGCAGGGTTTGATTTCCCCTTGGCCACAAAGTGGCTGTCTTAAGTAACTAGCAGGGCCTAGCCGCAAGTCTCTGCAGCCCTAACACAGGCCTGGAAGTGGAGGCTGACACAGGGAGCCCTAACACAGGCCTGGAAGACACAGGGAGCCCTAACACAGGCCTGGCTGACACAGGGAGCCCTAACACAGGCCTGGGTGGAGCACATGTGAAATGGCAGGATGGCATTTTCAGGCAGGTTTTTTTTAATGGCAATTCCAAAACATGGCAGGCAGGTCCTGCTCCACCCAAGAGGTTGGGTCGTGAATACCTGACCCTGAGAGCTTTACTGGAAGATGTCGATTTATGCTGTGGCCATACCAAGGGTTGGTTTTAAAGGGTACCCTGGTAAATGGAGTTATTGTGCTTTTGCATTTCCCAAAAGCTGCTTCTGTCTCCAGGAGCCCTCAGGGAGATGTTCAGGAAGCAATTGTGGACCTACATTGTCTGTGCTGCTCTCTCCATGTACATTCCTAACACAGATGTTTTCATTAAATGGAGAATTCACTTCCTTCATCAGCTCCTGTTATGCAGGTTGTTTCCTGAAGCAAACAAACTCTTAGCAGAACATTAAGTTCATATTTCCTTGAAAACAGCCTGACCAAAACAATGCATATCGGCATCTCTCCAGACCCTGGCATGGGCCAAGCTTCTTTCCCACTCTCTAGTACCTCTCCTTCAAAGCCTCAAAGTGTGTCCTCTCCAGGGGCACACCTTTCCTTTAGAGATCCCCTCTCCCACCCCGCAGATACCCTGCTATCTCTGCAGCCCCAGTGCAGTCAACAGACTCTAGGAACAAGTTCCATCTGGGCCAAGAGCCAGCCCTGGTTTCAGCAAGGAATACTGTGACTGGTTTGAACTGAGCTTGGGGAAATGTAGGCAAATTTGGTGTGCTGGCTTCTTGTTTCCGACACGGAAACAGTGGGGCTTACCGTTCTTTGGGGTTTTAGACCTTTTTTGAGAGAAGACAAAATGCCAGGATGAGAAGCTATCTGGAGATGAGCTTCAATACATAAACTTCACTCAGATCCCTCCTATTGTATGTAAGTAGCCTCTTTCCCCACGATGCAGTCATAGTATAGAAATTGCATTCAGTTCAGCATCGGGTGCATACGTTATCTATACCAGTGTGCCCAGGCCTGGTGTCTTCCTGCAAGATTTTCAGGCCAGTTGTACGGTGATGTAGCTTTTTTTAGCTGCAGGTAGCTATATCTTATGCTCCTTTACATTTTTACTGCCACTCTCATCATTGGGGTGGCTGCATCTGCAAAACAAAACCTGCTCCATCTGCAGCCTTCGTGCTGAAGGTCATAGCAAGCCCAGCCGCCAGTGAGGGCTTGTTACTGTTTACTTAGGTGAAGCTCTTGAGTTGCCAGTTGATATCTAGCTGGAGTGTCCCTTTAAGACCAAGGACCTGATCCTGCTGTCGCTTGCTTTGGTGTAAATTGCAAGTAATTGCGCTGAGATCAATGTGAACGAGATCAGGATCAGCAGACCCCTATTTCCGGGAACTGCACTGGGGAACGGCGCTTGACGTGCATACTACATATGGAAAGAGTGCAATGTAAAAGATCATTTTATATTGACTCCTATAGAACTTACTCTGGTGTCTGATTTCATTACTGACATGCAACTCACTGAGCCTCACCTTTTCTACCCAGCATCATTGCATGCTGGAGTCTTGGAACAGTTTCTCTTGGCTTCATGGCTTTGTCTTCTGCGTGATGGAAAGTTGGCAGCAATTGATAGCCACTACCTCCTGTTATCAGCCAGGCTCTCCTTGCCAGCCAGCGTAAGGATTATTCCATCTAATGGAACACTAATGTGTGTGTTGCTCCCCCTGCCACTCCCACCCATCCACGTATGCTGCTCTTGGCCTCTACACAGTCCTGATTGACCGTGGAGGGGTGTCTCTTCTCCATTTCCCCAGGTAGAAGTGACCGTTCAAGTTAACCCCAGCACTCCATCAACCTCCCCTCCCTTGCTCCATGTAAAATACTAATGTCAGAATTATTGCTAATGGGACATAAACTATAAGTTATGGCCCCCAACAGTATGTGTCCTCTTCCCCCACCTCCATTTAAAAGCTGTTTCTACTGTCAGCCCTGAGCTGATACAGCACTGTACAGCTCCGGGGGCTGGCTCAGTGGGCACTCTTGCACAGAACACAACATAGATTAAATATAACTTTGCAGAGCACTTGGATAACACGGGATTATTTGCTCTCTGAATATTAGCAGCTTGCTGCTGGTTCAGAAGAGGGGGAAAACGGTTTTGTTTGTACTAACTGTCTTGGCCATATGATCATGTTTAGAGGGATATTACAGAAGTGGCCACATCTACTTTTGGAGCCCCTGGTTGCATTTTACATGCATATCATGCTGTCCCTCTAGCTTGGGTGTGGTACCACATCTCCAATCAAGGGAATGAAAAGGGGATTTCATGGCAGAGTAGAGGGAAAGAGTGCATGACATGCCCATCTGCAATGGTAAAGAAACCCAGGACAAAATTCCACTTTAGATCTACTCCTGGGTAACAGGAGTAACTCCATTCATAGTCAATGGATTTACCCCTGATGAGAACAACACTTGGTCCCTGGTGTTTAGAATGAATGGTTGGCATGGCAGTTCAAGTAACTGTGAATTTAGACTGTAATCAGTGCTGAAGTCCTCGCATTTGAGGTGCTTGTAGATTCCTATGATCAGGACAACATTATTCAAATTTTTTTGACTAGCTTAAATGTTGGGCCTTTCAGCTATATTTAAATGAAAATAAAGGGGTGGGGAACAGGGTGCATTTAGCTGGGGTTACACTTATCCATGGAATGACTGAATAATTGCGGAGCGAAGTGTAATGTGACATAAGGTAGTCACAGCCAGCATTGGTCTGGATGATCCGTGAGACCTACCATTTGACTTCCACGTTGTCAGCAGGTCAGTGACCAGGAAAAGCGTGTGTATAAATATATCTAATCTGTCGATGTATTTTTTTTGTGCCAGCATGTATGTGTACTGCCAGCACACAGTATGTATATCTGCCCAGTGAAAGAACTGATTTGTATTTGGTGTTGTACCCGGATCATGTATTCTGTTGTTTTATTCAATAAATAAGGTCTATTTTTATTTTATTAAAGGCTTCCATGATGCGATTTTTATACTCAACTTTATTTTTTAGATGTTGGATAAATTTTACCCTTTTGGGTTAAATGTCCATAGTTACCAGCTGTGATCATTTATA